TATTGAATAAATGAGGAAGGAAGGGAGATGGAGAGGAAAGAGCAGCCAACCCTTCTAACCTCACAAAATCAAGATGAGGAAAAGAAACACATATCTCTTTACCGAGAAAAAGAAAAATAGTGTAAATATTTCTGTGGTTCTTACTATCCTTGTCACCTTCACAGGTCAGACCAATGAGGATCCTGAAGACCAGTAATATCTCTGGGTCTGTGAGTGAGTTCATCCTCCTGGGCTTCCCCTGCCGCAGAGAGATCCAGATCCTCCTCTTTGTGCTCTTCTCCCTCATTTATCTCCTGACCCTCATGGGGAACATGTCCATCATCTGTGCAGTATGGTCAAGCAGGAAAATCCACATGCCCATGTACATCTTCCTGGCCAAATTCTTCTTCCTGGAGATCTGCTATGTCAGCTCTGATGTGCCCAAATTGTTGGCCAACATCGTCTCCATGACCAAGAGCATCTCCTATGCTGGCTGCCTGCTCCAGTTCTACTTCTTCTTCTCCATGTGTGCTGCTGAATGTTTATTTCTATTGGTGATGTCTTTTGATCGATTTCTTGCTATTTGTAGACCTTTGCACTATTCCACCATAATGACCTTGACCTATGTGCCCAGTTAGTGGTTTTCTGCTGGGCAGGTGGCTTTCTCTGGTTACTGACCCCTTTGACCCTAATATCTCAGGTGTCCTTCTGTGGTCCAAACACCATTGACCATTTTCTCTGTGATCTGGCACCTTTGCTGGCATTGTCCTGTGCTCCAGTATCTGGAACTACTCTGACCTGTGGTATTACTAGTGCTCTCATTATCTTCGTCACCTTCTTGTACATCCTTGGCACTTACTTCTGTGTCCTGAGCGTGGTGTTGCCTGTGCCCTCAGGCTCAGGGAGGCATAAGGCTTTCTCTACTTGTGCCTCCCACCTTGCTGTGGTGTCCTTTTTCTATGGCTCAGTCATGGTAACGTACGTTAGCCCAGGTTCTGGAGACCATCCTGGGATGCAGAAATTTGTAACCTTGTTCTATGCTTTGGCAACTCCATTGTTTAATCCCCTGATCTATAACTTCTGGAACACAGACATGAAGGAGGTTTTAAAGAACACTCTGTACTTGTTTTTGTGGGAAATTTCTAAAGGATTCAGGAGCTGAGTTTAATATAATGCATCACTTATATTTAGGAGGATGAAAGATCTTGAGACAAATGAGATTATGCTGTTTTCCTTCATTTTAATCTCTTTTCATTATTAGGAAGGTGGTTTTGAAGAATTAATTAGGCTTATGATTTAGTTTTAGGAAACTATTGCTATTATGTTCCAGATATGTCTGGAATTAGATAGAATTCTCTACTGAAATCCAATTTAATAAGACTTTCATATATTTGTCTATAACTGAGCTTCTGGCTATTCTTTTGGCTTTCATTATATGCTGCTTGGTGTATTTCAAGATCCTCAAATTTTGTCTTCATCAAAGCAAATTGTTCTTTTTCAGAGCATAGCAACTAGTGAATGTATTACAAATACACAAATAGTTTACCAATAATCTTTCAGATTGAAAAAAACCCTCAACATCAGGAACTATTTTAGCACTACTGTTGTATCTCCCGTAATCCCAACAGTAGTTTTGGATACAATCAAATTTCCTCAGTAATGTTCTGCCGACTTGATTAACTTTCCCCGTTTTACCAATACCATCACTTTACTGAAAAAGCAAACCCATTGCAGTCAAGTCACTTCCAGCTCATGGTGACCCCACATGTTATAGAGAAGAACTGTGCTGTAGGGTTTTCTTGACTTAATCTTTATGGAAGCAGATTGCCAGGCCTTTCTTCCATGGTGCCACTTGTTGGGTTTGAACTGCCAACCTTCAGGTTAGTAGTTCAGCTCAAGCTGTCTGCTCCACTTGGGGACTTTTTATCACTTTATTAAGTAGGTCCAAATCTTCCATATGCAGGTGCATGAAGGTTGATACTCAGTGTATATTCTAAGCCAAAAAGCTATGGAATGTGTGAGATCACTGCCAACAAGGTCTTAGGTGTATTTATTTTCATGTAGCTCTGGATAATTGTCCCTCAGAGGTAGTCTCTACTCTCTATTTCTTGTTTTCTAGTGCACTGATTTAATTTACAGTATTGACTTTCATGAGGAAGTCTTGAGCTAAAGCTTGGTTCTAGGATAACCCCAGCACTAGCTTTACTTCCCTACTCCGTTTAAACACCTGCAGCCTCCTGTTGTGTATTTTTACATGAATATCCACTTCAAATTCAAATGCCTAAGCCTAAATTTGTTAATCTCCTTTTAAATTAGCTCTTGGCATTCTTATTCTCCAATGGCTCCACTGATTTATGTGACCCAGATTTGAAATCTTAACATTTATAATTCCTCATCTTCTCACCCCACTTTGAGCCTGTCATTAAAATCTGCTCTGCAATCATTTTCTACTCTCATAATTTTTGTCCAGGTCCTAGCACTGCGTACCTGTGATGGTGTAGTAACAACTTAAATGGTCTCTCTGTCTCTGACATCTCCTATATTAAATTTCAGAATAATCTTCTAAAACATCCTTTCTATCAGTCTCCACACTCATCTCCTCTTTACTTATACATAGGATAAATACCAAATTCTTTAGTTTGTAATTCAAGGTTCTTCTCCACCTGTCCTCAAACTTTATTTCTACCTTACTAAATACATGTCCCAATACTTCTTTTGACTCGCTGTCTCCAGTTAATGCATTACAAGTTTCGTCTCACAACCTGAGTTTAAAGTTGTTGTATTCATACCTTGTCTGTTTTTAGGCACCACTCGTGCTCACTGTGATAGGAAGTTAACTTAACATTTAAATTGACTAATAAACATACAAAAGTAGATTTGAATAAGTAATTGGATATGCAAGTCTGGAGGTGAGGGATGAGGTTGGAAGTGGAGACAAAAATCTAAGAATTATCAACATATCAATGGTATTTAAAGCTGTTGTACTCTTTGAGATCAGTCTAATCAGCACTGTCCAATAAAAATATAATATGAAGCACAAATGTTATTTTAAACTTTGTAGTAACCATGTTAATAAAGGTGAAAAAGAAACATGTGAAATTAATTTTAATATTTTATTTAATCCAATATATTCAAAATATTGTTTCAACATGTATTCAATATAAAATTATTAATGAGATATTTACATTCTTTTATACTAAGTCTTCAACATTTGTAGGTATTTTATACTTACAGCACACCTCTGTTAGGATTAATCACATTTCAAGTGCTCAGTAGCCACATGTGGATTGTAGCTATTGTATTGAACAGCACAGCCCAACAGGGAAGAGATCCGAAGATTAATTATAGAGCTCAGATAACGCTTAAACGTTAAGCAAAGAGAGGAATTGTCTTTATTTTCCAGAATAAAGTTTCTTTGCCTATAGAGAACAAGTATCCTCTTATTTTGTAGGTTTTCCTGGTTTAAATCCTGATTTTGGTGGGGAAAGGGCCCACTGCCTATGCTGCTTGGTGGGGCTGGTGACCTCACACGTCCATGAACCACCTCTTGGGAAAGTCTGTCCTGAAGAATTGTGTCTTCTTCTATGTCCTTATTTTTCCCAGACTGACAGTCAGTTAGAAGTCCCTATAAAAGCTGGAAGTCTCTATAAAAGCTGAAAGTCCCTGAAAAAGCTCAATGAAATTTCCCTCACACTTTGCTTTTTAGTCGAGAGTAGGGAGGTGGGAGGTTTAGCCAGTTATAAAACACACTTAAGTCGAATCCAATTTATATACCCCATAGGGGTTTCCAAAGCTGTAAATCTTTACACAGAAGCAGGCTGCCACATCTTTCTTCTGCAGAGCGGCAGGTGGGTTCCAACCTCCGACCTTTCACTTAGCAGCCAAATGCTTAACCACAACACTTTCCGGGCTTCCAGGGACTCTCATAAGGGCTCAGCAAGTTTTCACGTTTAGGGTGTGAGAGACTGTGCATTAAACTCTGGACTTATTATGAGAAAATGCTTTCATGTACATAAGCTTATATTTGTGCACACAATTGGAGATCATGGACCCCCAGGCTAAGAATTTTTGGCTTAAAGTGGAAGAGTAAGTGAAGAGTTTTCCCCATCCCCTCTTCACCCATTCTAAAAAGGAAGAAAGAACAGGCAACATTAACTTTCACTGCAGCTACTAGAGGCTTTTCCAAATGGATGATTTGTTTCCCTTTCCTGAACTTTTTTTCTCTTAGAACTCCAGATAATGCGGCAATAAAATATAAGCAGCACAGCATCTTTTAATACCACTTATCATGCGATGGAGCCCTGGTGGTGTGGTAGTTCAGAGCTAGGCTGCTAACCAAAAGAAAGGTGGTTCGAATTCACCAGCCGCTCCTTGGAAACCCGTATGGGGCAGTTCTCTGTCCTATAGGGTCACTATGAGTCAGAATCCCTCAATGGCAGTGGGTCAACAGGTTGTGAGAGTCCCTCTATACAATCCTTCTAATTTACTCTCATCACAGCATCTTATATGCTACAGATGGATCATTTAGCTAAGTCCTACCCTGTGTAACCTCTCAAGAGAACATAACCCAAGGATATCATAGGAAAGTAAAAATGAATGCACTGTTAGAGTTGATATTTTTCTTTCTTTTTTGGCTGCCTAGTGTTTCGATCTCGTTTTATATTTGAGGAAATTACAATATTATCTGTCTTGGAGCTTATCTTACTATGATTGGCGCTTATATTGCTAGGTTTCAGTTCTCTCATGCTTCTTTGCAACTAAAGCATAGGAATGTACTCTTGGCTCCACCAAACAGATACAACTACACCAGATTTTGATTCAGGGGCTAGTGGTGCAAGAGACAGAAGTAGGAGTCTCAACAAAGATGAAACATTGGCGTAAAAAAAAATGACACTGGAGCAGGTTGCACAATTCTTAGAGGAAAGACAAATTTTTAGCACAGAAGCGGCAGTGGTTCAAACTGTAGCATCTCATGGCCTGTGGCAGCAGTTGTGACCGCAGTGATGATGATTTCCTCATCATATCAGTTCTGCAGGAAGGTTTGGGCATTGATCTTGCAATCTTAGCCCTGGTCCTTCAGCTCTCAATGATTATGTGATATTCCTGACATTCCATCAATGAAACTTTTACCCTGTCCTGCTAAATCAATCAGTGAGCTTCTGTTGCATGCAAGTAAGAGTCTGGTAGAGTTATCTCAGATAGGTTCCAGTAATCTTCATAAAGCAAGGAGAAACTAACCCTTTTAGGACAGCAAATTGCCATGAATTATCCTCTAGTTCCGTAGTGGTTTGGGAAACTTTATAATTTAGCATTTCTGTTATACAAAATAGTCCCCAAAGCCACAATAACTTGGGAGAGGACTTTCAGATGTCTATTTTTATATGAGGAGCACTGGTGGTGCAGTGGTTAAGACTTCATCTGCTAACCAAAAGGTTGGAGGTTTGAACCCTCCAGCTACACCATGGGAGAAAGATGAGGCGATCTGTTTTTGTAAAGATTTGTTGTTATATTGTTAGGGGCCGTCAAGTTGGCTCTGACTCATAGTGACCCCATGTAAAAACAATAAAATGCTACCTCATCCTACGCGATCCTCACAATTGTTGATATGCTTGATCCCATTGCTGCAGCCAATATCAATCCATCTTGGTGTGGGTCTTCCTCTCTTATACTGACCCTCTACTTTACCAAGCGTGATGTCCTTCTCCTGGGACTGATCCCTCCTGATAATATGTCCAAAGTGTATGAGACAAAGTCTTGCCATCCTTGTTTGTAAGGAGCATTCTTACTGTACTTCTTCCAATACAAATTTGTTTGTTCTGGAAGACCATGATCTGCTCAATATTTTTCACCAACACCATAATTCAAAGGCATAATTCTTCTTTGGTCTTCCTTATTC